GGTTTGTGAGCAGCTCGTATACCTCCTCCAGCTGCTTCTCGTCCTCCAGGTCCATTGTCACCCACTCAAAGCCAGGGTACATTGGGCTGGGGTTCTTGTCCACCTCCTCGATCTTGATCTCCTTGATAGGCCCATCCTTGATCTTCTCCTTGTTCGCCATCTCCTCGAAGCTGGGTACGGGCTGCGTCTTCCAGAAAGCGTGACTAGCCATGTCCTTCTGGCTGCCCTGCGGCGCCAGACCCGTCAGCATCTCGTTGATGTTGAGCTTCTTGATCAATTGCGCGAGTTCCTCCTTGTTGTTCGCCTTGCCCTGCAGTTCGTTCGCCAGGCCGGGGTTGTTCGCGAGCAGCATGTTCATCGCTTCTCTCGGTAGGACGTTTCCAGCGGGCGCATTCAGGTCGGTGGTCTCGCCAGCCTTGCCTTTGCCGCTGATGGCATCCTTGATCTTGCGCTTCCTGCTCTTCTTCTTCTGTTCCGACGCGCCCTCTGCGCCTTCCACTGTCTCGGTCGCGTCGTCGCCGCTCTCGTCTGCGGATTCGGCTTCTGCCTGCTTACTCGATTCGGCGACAGCTTCGGCCGCTGCCTGCGACGTCGCGTCGGGGTCGGAGATCTTGGAGGCTTCTTGGGGCATGATGGAGGGGTATAGGGTGTGTCGGCGGGCTAGCGGGGAGGTGTGGCTGTTGTAGTCTTGCCTGGCAGCTCAGGAACAGGTAATTGAGCACTGAGAGCTGCTTTGGGTGGGGCATGGAGGGGCACCTCGAGTCGCGGCTGCACCTGCCCTGCCGTCAGCACCACAACTTCATTCACACATACACACGAACATGGAGACTGGTCATCGATCATCACAAACAACTTGGATACTCGTAAGATGACTTCATTGATTAGGCGGTGGTAACGCGAATCTCAGTACAAGATACAAACAGGTGGGTATCTTCCTAGCCAGACTCCAAAACACCCGCCAAACGCCGGCCCTGAAAGGCGCCCAAAAGCAACAGTAGCAAGGGGTATCGTACAAAAGAAAACACTCTCAAGATGCCATCGCGTCCAAGATCCACAACATCGCCACCACGTCCTCCTCATCTCACACTACATCACTCATCCACCCCTTCTACACTCACTTAACCCGCGTCCATACCATCTCAGCATCCACATCACAACCATCAGTCGCTTATCCATCCGTCCAGCACATGCATGTCAACACAAACAAACCCTACCCACCCCACCATCCTTCAGAACGGGACCTTCCCGGGGTAAACCCCGGTTCAGTCACTCAGGCACCGTAGAGGGCTATACCTGCTGCATCGGATAAGGGTGAGGAGCTGGTGTAACAAGACAGTCGGGCAATCCAAACAACACATAGTGTGTGCTTGGGCTTCGATGTCTTGACTCCATAGAGGGCGGGAAGGGTTTGTTAGTAGCGGCGCGGTGGGGCACCCGGTGAGGCACACGAATGCGCTACTCACCCTATAGGTGGCACAGGGCCGCTACCTTGTCAGTGTTGAGTCTTGTGTAGAGGGAGGATAGGCGGTGGTGGTATTGAAGTGGATCGGTGAGGCGAGGTGGAGGGGAGTTTCAGTAGGTGTTTACCAGGGTGTTCGAGTGGCGCTGGTGTGTGATGAGGATTCGTGGCGTTGACATCGTTTCTCTCATGTTCGTTGGTATCTTCGGTCAGAACTTTGTCCGTGTCTAGGCAAAGTCCCTCCTGTAGAGCGGGAAGTCCGTCGTCCTGGGCTCACCAGTCGGGCACGGATCACTCGAGTAGGCGGGCATCTTGGGCAGTGAAGCCATCTTGTGTTTGCGAAGCGGCGCAGTACCGAAATCCATCTTGGCAGTAAACTTGCGGAGCTCGGCGGCGTCGAAAGGAGCAACCTTGGGCTTCATGGCCTTGGGATCGCCCCACTGCGCAAGCTGGCCCTTGGCGGCAAAGTCCTCGATCTGGGGTCCAAAAAGACCCTCAGGATTGACGTAGACCGGGAAGCGCTTCTCGTGGATGTTGAACGGGTTGTGCTCAGACTTGTAGACGGGGATGTTGAGACCAGGTATGGCGCCGGAGAAGACCCAGTGATCCTTGACGAACGGATCGAAGTTGTCGGGAACGTTACCAGGGCCGTTGGCCTTCCAGGCAAGAATCATCGACATACGGAAGGGCTCCTTCTCGTACTTCATGCCGAAGTTTTCAACCTGCTTCAAGTATTCGCGGCCAAGATCCCATTTGTTAACCGCCCGGACCGTGTATTCCCTGTAACCCATGTAGAAGCCAGTGCGCGGGTCGGGTTTAACGCGGAACTCAAGCTGGCTGGGCTGGTAAGGATGTTTGGCGTTGAGATCGTTGGGCCTTCGACCATGGAGTTCGTTGTATAGAGCGTTCAAGATGGCGCAGAGCAGAAGACGGAAGTAATTGTTGTCGTGAACGAGCTCGATGATTGTTGCACGGTAGCCAACACACTTCTCGCCAATCTCGCGGCTGTTAATGGAGTCGTAGTGTTGCTCCATGTACTTGATTTGAGCTTCCAAACGAGCTATGTCTTCGAGGGATTTCCACTGTCGCAGCAAAAGGAGCGCGATCTGGCTGTGGTTGTATGTGGACGCCTCGCAGTAAGCGTTGTGGACGTTGTCTTCGTAAGACTTGATCTCGCGGGGCGCCAAATTGTCAGGTACTTTCCCCTCCAAGAGACGGATCAGGGCACGATTGTAGACCGCTTTGACCAGCTTGAGGCCAACCCAAACCCCACCGAGAGCCGTCTTGATCAGCCCATTGGATACGGAGAGCATTTCCCGAAGGCCCTTCAGGCCGGTCTGGTAGCATCCTAGCCAGATGTCCCAAAAGTACGCATCTTCGCTCCCGCCGAAAAGACCTTCCATCGTGACCAAGCTGACATCGCGAGAGTGTGACCAAATCTGCATCCAAGATCGGATACGGAGCTTGATCACAAGAACGATGAGATTCCAGCCGAGAAAGAAGATGTCGCTCAAAGCGGCCTTGATTATCACAGAGAACTTGGTCTCCGGTTGTCTTGGTCTGGCGGCGGCAAGGTCTGGGAAAAGGCACTCTCCGATGGTAATCCTGGTGATAGGTCGATCGAATACTCTGTCGATGCGACGCGTGCTTGTCCGGGCTTCGTACCAACGTCTCGCTTGTCTAGCAATCCATTGTCCTGGGGCGGTTGCAACCGTCTTTGCAAACCGTCCACACAGGAAGAGGATGTGCCCGATGGGCGGCAGTTGGAAGTGGGCGATGAGGAGAAGTGGATACGAGAAAAGGACTTTGATTATCTTCGGCCATACTACGTATCCTTCTGACCATCCGATGCAGTAGTCGGTGATCAAGCATACCCAAGCCAGGATCAGACAAGCATATCCGATGCGGCAGCCAGTGTGTCGAAAGGAAGCGTCGATGTATTCAGGGATCTGACCCAATGATTGCATAACGTGATCCTTGCCTTTGACGATGATAGCGATCCATGAGGCCATGACGGCGGCGGAAAAGACGGCGGCGAAGATTGCGATGACATCGAACGTGGAATACTGAGGCGTCCACATTACGTGCATTGCAGTCGTACGATCTTGATGAAGCTCATCGGAACGAGCTCGGGTGCGAGACTCAGCCCGAGTGTAGTCAGGGGAGGGGTAGGCGTAGTCGTCGATAGTAGAACGGTCGGACTCAGGAACAGGGGTGGAGGAGGTGGACGGAATGGCAGGAATGTCGTGGGTGATGGCGGTAGCAACAACTAGAGGGGAGGTCAGTCATCGTATATATCGAAGTGAGCACCGAGCAGTCGAAACTTACCTCCGACGGTTTCAGTGAAGGTGACAGTGATGGTAGGTAGAGGTTGTTCAAGCACGAGATAAGTCTTAACGACCATCTCGACTTCGGACGCCGGTAACGGCCATTTCGCACGATTCCAGACGGCGATACCCACCAAGTACAGTAAGGCGTCAGCCCACCACATGATGTTGGCGGTTGTTGTCGCGCACTATCAGAATGACTGAAGTATCGTGGGTTGAGGTGTCAGTGTGAACGGTGTCGCACTGCGAGCTAAGCGCAAGCAAGCTGGTGGGAGTGGCAAGAAACAGGTGTGATCAAAGAATCGTCAAGATGGAATAATCTTCAGTCGCCAGTGCGTAAACAAGAAGTCGCAGCGGCGGCGGGGGAGCGCGCTTTTATGCACTCCAGGCAACGAGGCTTTAGTGCGATTAGGTCAGCGACGAGTGTTGTTTTGGACCCTTTTTTGTGATCGTGGGTGTGGGGGACCATAAGCGGGGTGGCGGAATGTTTGTTTCATTGAGTTGTTGTGGTAGCCTTCGGGTGTTTGGTGGTTGGGAGGTTTGTGTGGTGGAGTGAAAGGGGAAGTTGCGATGGGTGGATGGAAGGAACCGTGGGGACGCGGGAACATCAGCGACGCGAGATAGCGTGAGGAACACCAGAAGCGTGTCTACTAAATCCGTACGCATAGCAGATAGACATGGTGACCTGGGTTACTGTTAGTATGTTGTTCAGATGCGTGGTCCTTACCTGTACCCATCAGCAACCCAACAACGCTCACTGCACACGAAAGGACCAAGTAATTTTGACGAACTACATCATTCCCACTACATAAACCCGACTTATGTAGTCTCTGCGCTATGCTACTCACTATCCTCTTCTTCTGGTACTGAATCGCGACTGCCGTTGACATCAAACTCCACCTCAGGGTATTTCCCACCAACCGTAACAAAAATACATTAGATCCAGTCCATCGGTCATGACAAAGCGTCCACAGGACGGGTATATAAAGAGAACACACTGTATGAAGGAGTAGTAAACCAAGGAAAAAGAGATACGCCCTGCGCTGTGCCGGCCAAGGGCACACGCCCGCCCTTTCGATATCGTACATTGAATCGCGACAAGATGGAAATGTAATGGAAAAGAGAGATGTATGATGTGATGGCGAAAAGACAAAAAAGGGTATCGCTATGCAGGTGAAAAGCAAAATCTTGGGTCAAAGTGTAGATGCTCGAGCTCAGGATGAGGTACTCTGTGGTCCGCGTATCGTGGTGCCGTTCTGGAACTCGATTGTGAAGTTGACAAGGTCTAGTTCAAAGGGGCCGACGTCGATGCTGCCGCTGTTGGAGTTCCCGTTGCGGTCGTCTGTGAGCAGGGATTGTATGGACTCCTGTGCACTCGCGGCCACGTCTAGGTCTTTGCTTTCCTGAAGCGCGAGGAGCACCGCTACACGGGCAAAGTCGAGAGCGTTGATATTGCTCGAGATGGGCTGTGTTACGAGCTCCTCCGTCTGGGCTTTGGCTTGTTCATTGTTGGCCTCGGCTTCGTCGACCTGGCCGACCGTTTGGCGCTTGGCTAGATGACCAGGGACCTGCGCAGGATGAGGATGATGGAGTACTGGGAGCGTACGCGACGGGTGAAGTGCCGTCCTTGAGTCCATCGAATGAAGACGCGGAGGGATTGAACGAGAAGCAAGACCATTGAAGGTGATGAGGGCGTTCTCGGCTGCGCAACTGAGCGAGAGCTGAGAGAACAACGACAACACACGGGTGGCATCCAAAGGAACATTGAACTTGGGGGCGGTCACCTCGATCAGGCGAGGAATACCAGAGCCCATCGTGGCGTTGTTGGCAGTGCCCTCGATGCTGGTCGTGGTGCAACCAGTAGCATCGTCGTTCGTACAGGTCTTTCCTGTGAAGCCGTTGATGCATACACAGTTGCACGATCGGTCGCCGTTGAGTATGGCGACACCGCCGTTCTGGCAGGTAATGATACCGCTACATTGGTCGTTCCCTTGACCCGGCCCAGACGTGGGAAGTGGTGCAGCAGGTGCGTTGGGATTGTTCATGTTGTTGTTACCCCCGTTGTTGCCTCCGTTGTTACTTCCTTGAGTCTCTTGAGCGGCAGAGGTATTGGCGCCCTTGTTCTGGTTTGGTAGGACGACTAGGAACACGGGAATGACGACCGCGGCAGCGATGACGAAAAGCAAGACTATGAGGAGCGTGATGAATGTCCACAAGGGCATACCACAGCACCTTCGACGCGGCTTCTGCTTTTCGTTGCTGAATCCAGAGTCGGTAGCACCGTTGCGTCCGTTACCACCTGACGGCCACTTTGTCATGCTGCCGTTGCGGAAGTTCGGGGTACCCCGGCCAGAGCGGTTGGGAGTTTCTTGACCTGGTGGTGGGAAAGCGGCGAGCATCTCAGACAATCCAGACTGACGAACTTGGTTCCTGTCGGGAGCACCAGTTTCCCAAAAGTCCAACCCAAGTCGACTTGCTGTGCGTCCACGATCAAGGTTCGCTGCCAGTCGCGTGGCTCTTCGAATGAGATCTGGCAGACTCGTCAAGCTGCCGCGCGCTTCAGCGTCCCGGACCGCGTCCATGTCGAGCCTCGCGGGCCGTCGCATACCAGCACGCTCGGACATTCCGGGGTGTCGCAATTCCTGTTGGAGTGGTGATGCAGTCCCAACGTTTCCGGCCTTACTCTTGAAGTCCTCTATCGTGTCCATGGAGTCCATTGAGACGGACCTGCTGAGAGGATGTCTTGAAATACCCGACGGACTGCCATCCCTCGCTGCGAGTGTTGCGGCTCCGATGCCCATGGCCCCCGCGCCAAGCCTAGAGCCATCAGGCTTCTTCCCTTCAGGTCCGCCCTTCTTGTTTCCAAAGCTGTCCACTGACTTGATAGTCATCAGCGATGGCTTCGTCCTCCTGCCCAAGCTCGCCTGTCGCAGAAGGGCGGGCGATTGCTGTACGAGGCCGCTTCGGTCGTCGGAGTCGGTCGGGGTCGGTGAGATGGTATCGCGACTGTTTATGGTCTCGCCGTCATCCGAGTAGAGATCGTCATCGGGATAGAAGTCATCCTTGTTAGTCGGGAATACGTTGCTAGAAGCAAAGGATCCGCGTTGTGACTGTATCCTTGAAGAGTTGTTCTCCGACTCCTCGACGATGGGTGACACATACGACATCTGCGTGTAGTACGACGAAGGCCCTCTCCGCGAAGAGGGCGGTGGACCGAGACTTGGAAAGCGTCGCGCTTGTTGGATACTTGGCATAGGCGGTTGGGGTACAGGAAAGTCGGGTATGGAGCCTATTGAGGAGTCTGAGGCTATCGACGAGGTAGTGATTGGGCGCGAAGATCGAAATGAGTTAGGTGAGAAGGTGTCGGCATTCGGATGTAGATATATTGACGTTGGGGAGGTCGGCGAGGGAAGATCGGGCGAGAGCTGCTGTATAGGAAACTCGTCGGATACAGGGCGTGCAAACTGTGGCGGTGGTCTCAGTCTTTCTGGAGAGCGAGGTGGTAAGACAGGTGTCGGATCGGCTTTGTCCCTGGTATTGTTTGGCAGTGGCCATTGTGGTGACGGCGATCCCGAATCAATGTCACCTCTGCTTCCCGAAGGCGCCGGTTGCTGTGACTGTTCTACTCGTTCCTGAGAGTTCTGCATGACGAGCTGGTTTGGTCGCCGGGGAAGGCCAATGATCTTCGACGTGTCTGGGAGTTGAGTCCTCTTTTGCGCAGCCTGCATCCGCTCTCTCGCCGCCCGTACCGAGCCCTTCTTTGCGTCTCCATCGCTGCTTGCGCCTGTTGCACCGTATGCTGCGGCGCCCAGTCTTGGATCGTAACTCATGAATTAGATGTCGAAATGTTGACGGTAAATGTGCCACTCGACACAAGTCTGGCTGTAAAAGGTTGTTGTGCGACGCGAGGTTCACACCCTCGGTGCGCGTGACTGGTAGAGTCGTCGAGTCTGCTCCAGGCAACGTGTGGGTTGTAAGAGTGTTGAATGTGGGTACTGTTGTGCGACTGTTGACGCATACGCACTTGTTGCAAGACAGCTGATGGCCAATGCGGACATGTATGACACGCAGGCCCCGGGGTACTCGAGCTCCCGAATGCTGGTCCAGGTACCTTCTCCAAATTACAGGCAAAGAGGTGAGAGTAGGGTAGACTCCAGGAACAGACGCGGTGATTTGATACGTGTCGGTACACGCGGAAAGCAGCGATTCCTTGCGTGAGCGACAGCCAGTTGCCTGAGGTTTCAGAGATTCAGGAACCAGGAGGTGACTGATACAACGTATCAGATATCGACTAACCTACTCTCACAGATCAGAACGAGTCCTTTGCATGATCGGTGGTGCTCGATAGGGACTCAATAAGGACAGCAAGGGCTCTGCGGACGGAGAGTACACCGTGATGCAGAGTATAACCGAGCCACTATAGCCCAAGAGCCTATGCAGCCCAGCAATAACATGCCAAATACGACGAGAGCGGACGCAGAGGCGAGGAAGAAGGGAAGGTGTAACGTTCTCTGTTGCAGCACCGTGGCGCTGATCCCAATGGGGTTTCATAGAAAATCCATGTACTTACAGTAAGAGGTTCGCAGCCAAGTCAGACGAGCGTTGTCGGAAGAACGGCTATCGATAGCACGCAATGAACGAAGGCGGTTGAATAGAGTGACAGGCCGTTGAGCCAAGTATAAGGAATATGTACAAAGGGTAAATGCGGGGACTAAGCTACGCGGAGGTGTCGAAAGTAGTAAAAAGAAAGTATAATAGTTAGGATGCGACAGAATGGTGGTGGCGCAAGAGCTTCGAGCTCGCGAATGGCTTCAGGCCGAGATGGAATGGAAAGAGTGAGGATAGGCAAAAGGCACGAGAGACAGCGACGACATGTCACGCAAATACAGAAACTTTGGAGTGGCAGGCAGGGCAGATTGTGGAACACGCAAGGTTGGCATGGTTCAGAGTTAGAAGCACGGACTAGAAGGTGTAGTGCAGGAAGCGAAGACGCCACGACATGCGCGGGCGACTCAGGGGCCTCGTACTGGTCACCGTCTATCGAAATCAGCATGGTGCGACAGTCGCGGGCAACGCACACGCTCCCGCCTCAGCACGAGGTGAGGAGAGGGCCCCAAAGATGCGCCCAACGTGCGCTGGTGCGAGAGCGTGCGCCGTTTCGAAAACGTCCGCTGCATTCACTGTGATGAAGGTAAGTTTTTCTCGAGGCGCGCCTGAGGAGCTATTCGTGGTTATTCGTGGTTGTCAGCACTTGGGGCGATCCGGTAATGTTGTAGGATGCTTCAGATGCTTGCGGCCATGGTGTGTTTTACATAGCATCACCTTGCGTAGACGAGGCGGGCCCGCGACTCGGTCTCGAGTGTCGTTCCGGCCAAGACAGCCCAGTTTAGCACTCGCGTGCTGTTCCTGCATGCATGACGCTTTTTCGGGGCCAGGCAATACGCCTACTGCAACGCTCACAAAGGGAGCCTGCAGGAGTGCGAACCATTCTGCCTGAGGGCGCCGTTGACGGTGTGCGCAACAACGTTCCATCGCTGTCACTAGGGATCCTAGTGATCGGGGAAAGGGCCGAGCCAGCGAGATTGGACGCAGGGTCGCGATCGAAGTTGATTTTGCGAGGCTCAGCGAATGGGTGTGAAAGACGGGATTGATATTAGATGCCGAACCACGGTGACCGTGATGGCGGGATCGAAGGTGGACAGCTGGGAGTAATCAATTCGAGGCGTCCCATAGATAGCGATCGACAAGCGAGATCCAGCGGCCTTGGTGCGTCGATTACACCGTCCCGCGTCTCGTCCTACCGCGCCAAAACCTTGACGTGAGGTCTCTGAAATATCCCAAGGCTGACACTACCTCGCGCAATCACCGGTAGAGTTCGCGCAGAACCTTGGATGTGGCCGTTGGGCAGGCACCGGCTCAGTCTGCCACGTGATGTCAGCGTGGCGGAAATTATGGGCAAAAAAAGAAACATCCGACAACGCCTCTATCGACTCGACCCGAGCAAGTGCTCTGTGCATACGGAAGCTGCGGTCGTCGCTACCAGATCAGCGAAGATCCCCACCTGGGCAACCCCGTGTACCGCACACGTCATATATGGATCTTATACCACCAGACTCATGTCCACACTATTGAATCTACTGAATCCTGCGGAAAAATGTTTACACTCCACACATGTGCGACTTGCTCGTGAGAAGGGTGTATCTGCAATCTTGGTATGCGCCTGTGCTACCAAAACATGGCGGGGAAGTAACTGCTCGGGCTCAGTTGGCAGGCACGACGGATAGCTGCAGTATGTAGGAGCGTTGGTGCAACTGCTGCAGCCTCCCTATTGACCTCCCAGCCACAAAGTCATGTACGACAACTGAACCCGTCCTCGAGTCATCGTTCGTGCAACGTCGAGTACCCACGCGGAAAGCCGAGCTCAGCATGTCCGAGATGACTCGGATGGCTACGGACGACGATGGAGAAATCGCGCAGCCGATCAACATCGCCTCTCAGCAAGTTCGTGGAGGGTGCAGGACTGAACTGCTCCTACAAGTTACTGAACTCCATTGTAGGGCATCGCCATCGGATGCAGCCGCATATTCCGCAAACCCGTGACACCCGACCAGAGCTCTGGGCATTTACTGCCGCATACTGAGGTTTCTCCAGATGGAGGTGTAGCCCTCGGGCCATCGAATGGCGCATACAGCCAGTTCTCCACAAACGACATCTTCACTAATCACGGCCATGCTCAAACAGCGACAGCATCCACGCTCTCGAGACCAGGTGCAGTTCCAACCTCGCCCTCTCGACTAGCCAATATCCGGGTCCGGCGTGCGAACAATGGCTCAACACTGGTACAGTCACCAGCCCGCGCTGGCCATGCCGCGCGGATGAGACAGATCTTCGAGGATGCCGGCCGTGATCATCAGTCCCCTCAGCCTGAGCAAGGCGTCTCATATCCCCAGCTACCAAACATCTCCAGAAAGGCCTCGCCACCAGTGGAGCATGGTAGGAATGAGCAACATGCTACTCTCGCAATCTCTCCGGTACAACGTCCAGAGTCCCCATGCATGTCGAGAACGTCCTTCAGGATGGTATCACACGCGACGCTGACGAACAGTCCTCGCATATCTGAGCAGAGTTCAGAGGCATGGTCGGACGACTCTGGATATTTCATCGCAGGCTCTCGAAACCGTACTGCCAGTCTTACTGGTCCGCCTAGGGATCGTATCAACGACTGGCTTGCAAGCACATCTCTACACGAACAGGAGACATGCGGTATAGAAGATGTACTCGACTACCAGTCTACTAGCCATTTACCGCGCCCCTCGTCTGGGAAGGATGTCTTCAGCAAGGATAACACCCAGTCACCCCATCATATCAGCACAACCACTATCCCAGACCCATTTCTCGAACCCGACTCTACCCTGCGCATCTCCCCCCTCTTCAAAGCTCTCCCTCCACGGCGCCCTCGCAATCAGCCACACACTCCAACCCAGACACAAACGCCTTCTCCAACGACTGTCACCATCCGCCCTCACCAACCCGCAGTAAACCGCCCGATCCTCGAAGAGGGCGGTATTCAACTTAGCCCTCTTAGCCCCAACGTCTGTATCGAGCGCGGTCCGTCTCGTTACCATTCTACGCGTACGTCGCCGATTAAAGAACGACGAGCGTTGCGGTATACTATGAATGGGAGTGAGAATGGAAACGAAAATGGCGGTGTCGGACTACAACAGGGGAAGGGCAAGGATGTGGTAAATGCAGAGGTACAAGGTAGCCCACTTGCGCCGTGCAAGATCGGTGTCGGAACGAGATTCCAGCATGCAAGGCATGGGGTGAGGGGAGTGGGTAGGTTTGGTCGGTGTTTGGGGCCGTGAAGGGTCGCTGGTGGGACGATTCAATCAGTTGAAAAGAATTGAATAGAAGAGTCAGAAGGGGGCTGATTATTGGGTATTACTGCTACATCTCAACATGGAATACCCATCAACACAGCAGAAGACTTGGATAGATCGATAGTATAGAGTGGAGCATATGACATTGTATTCGTACAGGCAACTCGTCCGCAATGAACGTGATATATACTTGTATATTCATTGTATCTCCTCCATCTTCTCCTCACCCACCTCATCCTTGATAATCCTGCAAATCTGAATCTTACTCTTTCCCGCCCTCAGCACCAGCGCCTCCCAATCCACAAGATAGTGATACGGATTGAAATCCTTGCCCGGCTCGATAGTCGCCCACTTCAACGCGGTCGGGTTGTCAG